AATATGAGCTATACGATGATAAAGAACGTCAGGTAGCGAACATATCAATAAGACCAATAGAAGGCGTAAAGATCAATGTTTGATGCAAGAACGAATAAAGAGCAACAAAAGATATATAAGCAAGTAATAGCAAAATAAACTTTAAACCACTGTGCAGAACAGAGTACTCGGGCGCTTACTAGACAAACTTATGGACGAAATTGTGGAGAACGTAATAAAGCCTGTTGCTAGCCTTATATTATTTCTGCCTTATGTTGGATCCGTTATTTTGATTTTGATAATTTTTACAATGCGATATCTTGCTAGTAATCAGTGACCCACACAAACTCACACTATAATTACGTAAGAGTGCCAAGATTTTATCCTTCCTTTCGCCTCAAGCTGTATTTGAATCCGGTTAAATCATACAAAAATCACGGAATTTCGTCGCTCAAGCTCATGTTGCACTACCGGCCCATAGTTTAATCAAGGCTATATTAATCGAGCATACTTCTGACATTGTCACACGAATTATATACGAATTTCAAGATGTAATCTTTCTTGTATTTGCCTCAACCTACGTTTGAATCCGGTTAAATTATGCAAAAATCGATGAATTTCGTCATTTAAGGTAATGTTGCATTACTAAGGTACCGGTAATCAATACGACATGGTTTGTGCACAACTCTAGAATGATCATACGACTCATACAAGTGGATTTGATTTCGATACTGGCGTTTTCCCCGCGATATAGAGCGCGATTTTTTATAGACTGTTGATATCAACATTTTGATACATTAGACACTCCCCCTTCCATGTGACGTTATTTTTTCGATCGGAAATCATATTTTCTCATATTTTACTGACCCTAGAAGATATTCCAATGAAAATCAATTGAATCGGTTGTGGGCCGAAAATTGACCAAATCGAGCCTGGTCCTTTGTCGAGGATGGTCAATATATGATTTAAAAAAATTTTTAACACCCTATTCACTCACCCACGCAACCATCCACGCATCAACAAATTTATAAACCGATATTCTTGGGATCATTCTAAGTCAAAAAGGACACGTATGCCCTAAAGTTGATTACAGCAAAAAGACGAAATTGCATAATATAAGATAAATATTATTTATTAAAAATAATAATTTTATTTATTGAACAATAATATTATAGAATTACTTTATAAACTGTGCGATAATGTAGATCATAAAGGTGTTTTTCTCGCATTTGTGCGGTGAAGTAAGGCATACATTGAATCGTTGAAAAATAAGCCATCTTTCGCACGCTAAACAGCAATAGAAATTTGAATTTTCGTGACTGGCATTACAAAAAATAATTACATACGTTGTCATAGTAAAAAATAAATAATAAATAAATGTGTAAATAATTAAAAAATAATTTTTAATTATTATTACAAAAATTAATTTTTATTATTTATACATTTATTTATTATTCATTTTTTACTATGATAACACATGTAATTTTTTTTGTAATACCAGTAACGAAAGTTCCAATTTCAATTGCTATTTAGTGTGCGAAAGATAAATTTCTCAACGATTCAATGTATGCCTTATTTTACCGCACAAGTGCGAGAAAAACACCTTTATGATCTATATTATCGCACAGTTTATAAAGTAATTCTATAATATTATCGTTTAATAAATAAAATTATTATCTTCAATAAATAATATTTATCTTATTATATGCAATTTCGTCTTTTCGCTGTAATCAACTTTAGGGCATACGTGTACTTTTTGACTTAGAATGATCTCAAGAATATAAAGTTTCACTGTGGACATTACGTTGCAGGACACCTGTATATATATAAAAGAGAGTGTAATAATTATAATTGATTATAAAGTACATAATTCTTTGTAATAAATAAATGATTTATATGAAAGTATTTTCGAAATTGAGCAGATAATAATATTATCATTATCGGAATAGAGCAGTAGTTAGATAAGATTGTATTGAAAGAGATAGATTTTATTTTTGATTATATAGATATTGTGAGTATTTATATGTATATATAAAATTTATATATTTATTTATATTTGTCTACTATATGCGCACAATAAACATTTATAATTTCTAGAAAAGCAGGCTATCTCGAGTAGACATAAAACAGATAAAAATAATCTTGTAAGTTCCTATAAAATTTTTTTTATAACGCATCGAGATATTTGTCTAAAAACGGATTCTATATGTCCATGAAAAATTATTCACTTTTACGAAAACATCTTGTATATATGCAATATCTATATAATCAAATAAAATTATTCCTTTCAATATCTTATCTAACTATTGCTCTGTTCCGATTATAATAATATTATAAAATATTTTCATAAAAATAATTTTTATTTATTACAAAGAATTATCTACTAAAACTTTATAATCAATTATAATCATACAAAATTTTTATTTTTACGTGTGCATGTTGAGAGAGAAGAGACAGAGAGACAGAGAAACAGAGACACACAGATAGATAGATAGATAGATAGATAGATAGATCGATCGATAAATAGTTCAATAGACAAATACCTAAATAGATAGATTGATATATATATATATATACATATATATAACCACAAATACAATATATATATATATATATATATATAAAAGTTTTTTCGCCAGTTCTGGGACACCCTGTGTATGTATATATATATATATATATATATATATATATATATATATATATATTATATATATTTTTTTTATCAAATATTCCGATTTATTATGTACGTAAAAATGCGCATCAGATCTTAACGTATCTATACGCGTAACATACGTATATATATATATATATATATATATATATATATATATATATACGTATGTTACGCGTATGAACGTGTATAGCACCGGGCGACGTGAGTGAGGCGTCGCGCAGTAGATCATATCAACGTATAATACGCGCGGATTACTGTGGTACATACATACTACTGATACCGCGCGAATACGAAAGATCTGACGCGCATTTTTACGTACATAATGAATCGGAATATTTGATAAAAAAAAATATATATATATATACATATATATATATATATATATATATACACATATATATATTATATATATTTTTTTTATCAAATATTCCGATTTATTATGTACGTAAAAATGCGCATCAGATCTTTCGTATTCGCGCGGTATCAGTAGTATGTATGTACCACAGTAATCCGCGCGCATTAAGGTACCTTTTCATGCGTCGCTCATCGCTCGTTTTGAGCGATAAAAAGTCACGTGACTGGATTTGTCGCTAGCGATTAATATCAAACATGAAAAGGGTTTTCCAGCGACGCGATTTTAATGTAGTAGCGTCAGCTGAAGAATTCTATACAGGTGCTCCAAAATATATATAATCGCACAATGTCACAATCAGAAAAATATAATTGGATAACGGAGTGTGCAAAAATTATAAATAATCATAATATGAGAGAAAGGAGAAAAAGATTAGCGATATCGGCAGTTATTTTTTATTTAATAGAAAAAAGGAAACGACCTTATACTAGAAAAGAGTTTTGGATTAATCCATTGTTTCAAATGAGACGCGAACATGGATTTTATAATGCAATTTTACCCACAGTTTCACAGCAAATAAGTACATTTAGAAATTACTTTCGTATGAATTCAATTCAACTTGAAGAGTTATTATACAAAGTAGCACCTTTAATCACAAAACAAGTATTAACTCGAGAACCAATATCTGCCAGTGAAAGATTATGCATGACATTAAGGTAAGTTGAAAACACAATAAATAAAAAATAAAGTTAGAATATGTTATTTATATTTAAAATATTTATTATAAATATTTCTTATAGGTTTCTTGCTTCTGGTGATTCAATGACTTCCATGAGCTACCAATATCTCCTCGGACTAACCACAGTTAGCAATATTATTTCAGAAACTTGTGATGCATTGTGGTCTGTTCTTTCTAAACATGTTCTTCCATATCCTTTAACAAAAGAGAAATGGTTAAATATTTCTAAAGAGTTCGAAGAGGTATGGAATTTTAACCATTGTATAGGAGCTATTGATGGTAAACATGTTGTTATTCAAGTAAGTTACTGAAAAAATTTAAAATAGATTTTTATTTTTAGAGGATTTTATTTTTAAAATAATCACTATATTATTTTTTTCAGTGTCCTGAAAATGCAGGATCATCATATTTTAATTATAAAAACAGTCACAGTTTTGTTTTGCTTGCTGTTTGTGATGCAAACTATATTTTTACTTTTGTGGATATTGGAGCCTATGGACGTCGCAGTGATGGTGGAATATTTAGAGACTCCTTTCTTGGCCAAAAATTCAGAACCAATGAAATGAATGTACCTGATCCAAAACCATTTTATTTCGAAGGAAACTCTATGCCTTACGTGCTAGTTGGAGACGAAGCTTTTCCACTTACTGAGTATTTAATGAGGCCTTTCCCAGAAAACAAGGTTTGAATCAGGACAAAATTATTTACAATTATCGTCTTAGTCGAGCAAGGAGGACCATTGAAAATGCTTTTGGCATTTTATCAAGTCAATGGAGAATTTTAAGAAGACCAATAAATTGTTCAATTGAAACAGCAATGAAAATAGTACAAGCTATTGTGTGTCTTCATAATTATATTCGTATACAAGATATTGGAGTCAATGAATATATCACTGAAAACATGGTTGATCGAGATGGTTGCGATGGTTTAATAGAAGGTTCTTGGAGGAGAAATATAGACATTAATTCTGCTTTTTAAGATATAAGAAGGTAGTACAAATAACAGTTCTCGGAAAGCTGCAAGAATTCGGGATGACTTTTGTGAATACTTTAATAGCGAGGGAGCAATACCTTGGCAATTTCAACACTGTTGATAAACAAAGGAATAAATATTTCATTTTATAACGTTTATACTGTATTTTGTATGTAATTTCAACATTTTAATAAATTTTGTATTTAACACATAAAACAAAATATAATTTCACGCTTTATTATCTCCATAATTTAAATAAAAACTAAGTTTAATTTAAAGTACAAAATTTTTGTTAAGCTAATTTAATATTTAAGTTAATATTTCATTAATATCTTTGGTTTTCTTTTAACATTTCGTAAGACATATTTAAATATCGTTGCATCCATTCATTTTGTTTTTCTGGCGATAACTTTCTTAAGTTATGACCAAACAGTTTTAAGAACGCATCTATATGGTCTTCTTGAGGGGGTGGTGGAAGAACAATGTCAGGAGGTGGTTGGCATAAAGCGTCTGCTATACGTTCTAAGTAGCTGTTTTGTGACTCTGCTCGCCTTCTCTTTCTTACATGATCTTGAAAAAAAAAAAATTTAAAAACCATTTTCTTCTAATTTCAAAATTTTAAAATAAACTGTGATAATTATTCAATACTTCCTGATATACTCGTATCTTGACTATCTTCATTATTAGTAACTTCTAACATATTCGCATCTTGGCAATCTAATTCATTATCATTCTCGATAATACTGTTGCTGTCTCCATCGTTAATATTAGAAATCGTACTGTAAAGAAATAAAATTTATTATTTTATATAAAAAAATTAATACAAAAATAATTTTCTAGTATTAAAAATAATGAAATCATACAAATGCATTATTAACCTTTTTTGTAAGCAACTATCTCGAAGGAATTCCATACTTTTATAATGTTTCCATTTGCTCATGTTGCTTTTGGAAGCAGATCCACTTGGTAGTTTCTCAGCGTTCACAAGTCTCCTATAAGTGTCGTGAAAATTCTTGAACTTGCTTTTACATCCAGCTGCGCTTAATTTCCCTGTAAAAACATTCTGTTTTAATATATTTTTTTAAATTCTTGAGGCTTCCACGGGTACTATCTTCAAGTTTGCTGAGTGTTTTGCGGGTTATCTCCATGTGTAAGTTCATCCTTGGATGCTATGGATGCTTGGATAGTATCCAAGGATGAACTTACACACGGAGATAAAACTCGCGAAACACTCAGCATATTTTTTTAATATTATAAATAATAGACATTTATATAACCATTAAAAGTTTGAGAAACTTCTTCCCACAAAGCTCTTGTAATTCTGCAATTTCTTTGAATGAGAGGTAATCTAAAATTCCATAGTGGTTCTCTGCATTGGACTTCTAATATTAGCATCTCCTCCTCCTCAAGTGACAGTTTTTCCTTTGCGCTCTTTTGATTGAAATTTCTATTATTATTAATGGATCGAATATTCTCTGAAACAAAAAATAAAATGTATATCATACAAACATAATATGTATAACTTCTCATTTATAATGTTTTAAAACTTCAAGAATTTATTACATTTATCTGACCTTGATTATCACCATGAAAAGGTACAGATGCTATTGTTTCAGCGTCCTGTGTCAAGCTTCTTCTAACAATAGTTTCTCCATCGTCTAAAAAAACATTATTAAAAAAACGTCAGATTTAATAATTTTTGTAATTAACTTAAGTAAAATATATATATATATATATATATAAAATACCTAATACAGGGTAAAAGTACAAATTATTATCTGTAATGAAATTAGAATATCCTTGAAGACACTCATGGCTGGGTACTTCGTCCTCATTACATATGATTTCACATAATCCACACGTTTGAACACGAGACTACAAAAAATATTTTAGAAAATATCTTATATAACAAATATTTTATTTACTTCAATGTTTTTTTGCGTACGTTACATAAAATATTATTACTGACATAACTTATATGATTAAAAATAACAGATTTATATTTATATGTAAAACAAGATATGTTAAAGTGTTGCTCGAAATTGACCTTTCTCAATTTATGTTTACTTATAATGTTAAAGACATAATAATGTCCTTAATTAAGGGGATGCTGGAGTTGTGCAGGGACTTTTGTCGTACATAATCTCGAACACGAGCAATATTTGCTTCATGTAAAAATTCTACAGTTTGTGTTATGTGCAAAATAAGAGTCAGCGTATGCGCGAGACAACATATCTGAACAATATCGTGCAATTGGAACTAAGGTTAAAAGCCTAGAAAAAAAGAAAAATGTACTTAAAATTTTGTACAACCTTCGCATACGCTGGCTCTTATTTTGCGCATAACAAACTGTAGAATTTTTACATGAAGCAAATTTGCTCATATTCAAGGTTATGTACAACAAAAGTCTCTGCACAGCTCCAGCATCCCCTTAATATTAATAATAATATTTTTATAATAATATATATGTACATGTTTATTATATTCATCAAACAATATTATTATACTTACCATTTCGATATCCATTCAAATCTTTATCGCTCGCTAATATCGCTTGTAGTTGGAAAAATCGAACTACATTTCACGTCGCTAGCGACTTACATGACGTCATCACATTGCAGAAAACGAGCGTCGAGCGACAGCATGAAAAGATACCTTTATACGTTGATATGATCTACTGCGCGACGCCTCACTCACGTCGCGCGGTGTTATACACGTTCATACGCGTAAAAACAAAGCAGCGTATACAACGTATCGTTGTCAAATTTTACATACTATATATTTATTATATATAGTTAGTTTTTTTTAGTGTGTTATTGAGTTTGTGTGTTGTCCACACCATGGGACAAACATATAACGCCAAACGTTTGCCTCTTGCGAGACGTAGAGTTTCCTTCAAGAAGGGCTGGATGTACAGGTTAGTTTTTTTATTAACATTTTCTATATATGCATACATATACATACATACACACATACATACATATATATATATATATATATATATATATTGTGACGTGACATTTTTTACTGTCCGTCACAAGGGCCGAAGGCGAGAAATTCGGGAACCTTTGCTCTCTCGCCAATCTTTGAGAGAGAGAGAGCACCCGAAAAATCATTTTTGCGTTTTCTACCGCGTCGGAGGATGCGCTTCGCGCACCCGTTTCGCGAATTACTTTATTTATGATTTTTGTTTAAGCGATTTTTGCGTTTTTGGCGAGCAATTTTGCATAGGGTACGTGTCTCAACCGGAGAAACAGAAAGAGAGAAAGGACGAAGAGGACGATTTAGGACCGAGCAGAAACCACCAAGTCCGGATCACGCCCGGTAAATATTATTTTCACATAGATTTTCTGGATTGCTCCTTCCGTTAAGAACCTGGATACCGCCGTAAAATGTTCCTTCTTTTGCAGAGATTCCGGCCAGAGACGGGGATGGCCACTCTCTCGCAAGAGGCGAGAGAGCCCCGGAAACAAAAGGCGCGGGAGATATCCTGCCTCGAGCCTCCGCAGATCCGGATACACAAAAGTTCACCATCGACCAAACAATCGATCGTGCGGATTTTTGGAGGAACCGCACAAAGGCGCGCTCAAAGGAGTCTCCCCGACGAACATAAAGAGGAAGAACGGAACCCGAAGCGGAAGCACAGAGGAACGGCGAGAGAAAATTTGCATCAAGCAAATTCGCAGGGCCCCGCGGGGTACCCGGCGGCCCTGCCAGGATAAGGAGCGCCACGGGTGGAAAATGCCCCATTTATTATCGGCGTGATCCCGGCAGGCCTCTTGCTCGTCACTGTCCGGCGGAGCGTTCTGGAGAGTAGAGGTTCCTGCGCGCGGATGCCGAAGCATCAGAGGACCCCTTGATACCGGTGAGACGAACGGCCCTATATACTCTTGTAAAACCGCTAAATTCTTTTGTGAGTACCGTATTCGGGAGAGAAGCGTGTCACGGCCGCGGCCGGTTATTAGATTCACCGGTGTAATTTCGCGATATTTCGAGAGGTTTGATTTAGAGTTTCGTTCCGCGTAGAATTTATCCCGGCGCCCGGCCGACCGCGTGCTCTCTCCCGCGCGTATATTAAGAGAGGCTCTCTCTCCCGCGGATACGCCGACAGTCGCCGCGATTTCGTCACATTAATGTAGAACAAAAGTATCGTTTCGTGATTATTGTGTCGTTCTCGTCTGTTAGAGTTTCTATATCTGAGAATAGAAAATTGTCTAGAGTCACGCATCCGAAATAGCGTATTCTTTCCCGCGCATATCATTATCCGCGTAGTTTTCTGATTCTTTGTAAAATATTGCGAGGGACGACCGGAGTGATCGGTCGCAAAGGAAGTCGCGCGGGACCTACTGCAGTTTACGGAGATTTTGTATCGCCTACAACCATCAGAATTAATTTCGCCGCACGGACCTTATTAAGTCTCGTGCGTTAATAATTATTCGACACGTAGGCGCGCGAAGTTACTTCCGGGTCCCGCGTGCCGTCCGATATCACCGCGTCGGGTCGTCTCAAAGGCGCGGAACAATAACAACGCGCCGCGTCTCGGCCGTAAATACGCTACATTATATTGTTCGAATCAAATTTCGGCCTCGCTTATTTGTATTTCGGCGTCACTAAAACGGAGTTTACTCCGTAGTATATCGAAAGAATCTTGATTTTTCTTTTTTGACCTAACAATTTTACTCAAGCTTTTATACAATTATTTTTCTGTCTATCTTCGTTCATCATTGTTCAAATATATTAAATGCTTGTTACATTTGAGCGATTTCAAATAGCCTCTCTCGAATTCCGTTCTCTCTCCCGTCCGAACTCCCCCCTCTACCCCCTGACGATCTGAGCGAGTCGATTATCGCCGTCGCGGAAAATTTCAGGATGATTTACGGATTATAAAGGTCATCTGTCGATTTGTAGATTTTCAGAGTGGCGCGAATCTCGCGCCTGGCGCCCAATTAAACATATTTTTCGTGTTTATGCGAATTTCCCGCTTTCCGCGCCAAAGGTGTGCCGTCGGCCATTTACATCGGCCCGATTTCCCGGATCTTTTTCGATTCGACGGACTAACAAAAATAACGGTTACAATATATATATATATATACATATATAATATTGAACAATATTATCATTTAATAATACCATATTATCTACTCCTTAGAGAGATATTCACACCACGATATTATCATCGTTAAATTAACACGATACAAACTGTCATTAACCTTTCACCATTAAAATTACACGATACAAATAGGGAAGTATACAAAATAACAAACTATATATAATTTTTTTTAAATAAATGTATATGTTATTTAAACAATATAAACACTAAAAGTTTGAATTTTTTACATTGTTAAATGATTAAAATTAATTAATAAAATGTTTCAATTTTACAAATTTTTTACGTGACGTAAAAACGGCCGATGATTAGTCGATTGAGTAATGACGTCAAATAATGTATGTCATCTTCAGTGCGCTATGAGAACACGTTAGTATAATAATCTATATTTAAGAAAATACGCTAATAATTGGTGTAAAAATGGTTGAACCAGGCTTTGTAAAAGCTGATTTAACCAATATACCAAAAATAGATATATTTATGGTGGCAGAATTTGTTAAAAACGATACTAGATATAATGCAGCAGAGATCCGGTTGGTTAAAGCATTTTTGTAAGTACAGATAAAATATATATCTATTAATAAATAGTACACGTATATTAATTAAAAATTATTTTACAAGACTGATTGATTATAAATATTGTTTTCATATAGATCTAGTCGAAAAAGTTATGGCGATACACTGCAATAGGTTATGTCTGCTTACGAAGAGAAGGCTCGATTTGCACAATTAAAGAATGTAATTTTCCATGTCCTCTTTTAACTGGAAAAATATATAACAATTTTAATGTTTGAACAATTTTAAACATTTTTATTTATAATTTAATAACTTTAAAGGACTTAATAAAAAAATTTAGTATTTAGAGGTTAGACAAATAATATATAAGTTAAATGCCTGAAAAACAGTAAAAAAAATAATAATTTTTTATAAACTTACATTGAAATGATCCTCACAACAATAATAACAAGATTTTGTTGGTTCATCTGCTCGATGAGCTTTAAACTTAAACCATAGTTTTCTTCTCTTTTCTTACGCTTTTTTTTTTTTACGTCAGGAATGTGTTCAACACATACCCTCCACCTCGGGGGAGGCTTCGGGTTATGCGGGGATGGGAATGGGCAGAAGGCCCATTCCCGACCCGCTAAACCTGACGGTGGTCCTCCTGGCGCTACTCGGAGGCCCCGGGAATCGCTTTCGCATGCAGTCGGTGCCTCCGAAACGCCGTGACGCACCCCTTTCGGGACAAGTCCCGTCAGGCGGAGAAGAGTGGAGACCACCACCACTCCTCTCCCCTCCTTGGAGAGCCGCGTGCAATGAGTTCGAGGGCCCCCGCTCTCGAAATCTGCAGCTCTCCCGTCCCAGGTGTTGAGGCTCCCTCCGCCCCCAATAGGGGGTTAGGATTCGGCTCCAACACCGGAGACCTCTCCTGAGAGATCCCCTTCGAGAAGGAAGTCTCTCTATGCGGGAGGGAGGGAAGTACGACTCTCCTGAGTGTCCATCTCCCCTCCGTCCCGCATCATCTACTACTAGGATCCCCACGCGGGGGGTCCCGGCCTCCTCCCTCCCCCAAAAGGGATCGGGATCCGGCCGGGCCCTCCGGGGGCCCCGGACGGGGGAGCCCGTCCCCCGGAGGAGACGGACCCCCCCGCGCCTTCACTTCTGAGGGAGAGGCGCTAGGCGTTTGCCCCGCGCGTCTCCCCTCTCCCCTCTTCACCCAGAAGGGACGGAGCCCGGCCCCGTCCGCCCCGAGAGCTGCACCCCGGCGATAACGCCGGGGCGAGCCCACGGGGCCCCCGACCGGGCTCCTCCCCCTCTCCACTGGAGGTGCCGACAGGCACCCCGGTCCCCCAAGCCGGTGCCTGGCCGGTCGGTTGAAGTCCACACAAAGTGGACATCCCCGGCCGGACAGGCACCCCACCTTCTTGTGGCCAGGGGAGCCGCAGCGGTAGCAGCGAGCCCCCCTGTCCACCTCCGAGGTGCACCGACGCCAAGTATGGCCAGGCCACAGGCACCGGTAGCACCTCGCTACTCCCATGACGTTAGCGACCGTTGCGTCGCTAGCTCCCCCTTTATTGTTGTTGTTGCCCGTCTTGGCAACAACCTCCCACCTCTCCTTATTTTTCTCACACCCCTCCTCCTCCCTCCCCCCCCCCAGTGGTCCTCCTTCTCTTCATCCCCTCCTTCCGACCACTTTAGCCCACTTCTCGGCTCCTACACCCCCCTCCACGTTGCCCCCTCCCCTCCCTTCCTCAGAGGCCACTCGGGCTACGCCCGTCCGACCGAGTCTCTCCGGGACCTCCCGGGTCACCCCCATTTGGTCGCCCTCAACCTGTCTAAGGCGCCTCTCCAGGAGCCCCAGCCAATCCGAATTGGCCGCCAGTCTGGAGGACATGTCCTCCAGCCTGGCCACCAAGTCCCCCGGTGTCAGGGTCTCCCGGACAGGCGCCTCAGTCCCCTCGGTGGACTCCACCACCATCAACACCTCCTCTTCCCCCCTCGGCAGCTCCTGCCCACCCTCCTCC